AACTACGAGGCGGTCAGATGCTTTGAACGGGCTTGGTGCCAAGAGTTGTGTGTCCTTGGCTTCTGACAAGTCTGTGTGTAATGGTCACTGCGAGGCCATTCAACTAAATCCGAAGCACGCTTATGTCAAGCGCTGAGAACCGTGGCTGGGTTCGATACTCCCATTTGCATCACTTGCAGCTTTAGGCACGTACCTTGCTCGGGCATGAGCTTGTAGCCCTGGAGAAGTATGACAAGGCACATGCATGCTCGCGAGCGTTTCTGTTCTGCACTTCTTACTGTTGTTCCGGGAGGCCATCGAGCAATACCGCAGCGCCATCGATGTGGATCCACGACACTATGGTGCATGGTGGGGCCTTGGAAGGGTGTGTCAGTGTCAGGACCGCGATTGCATACTGTATGGATGATGTCAACCCCAGGTGCTTCTTGTTTTTGCCAGGAAGACTTAGTACAGGCCAAGTACAACTTTCTGCGAGCTGTGAACCTGCCGCGGTTGGGAAGCTGACATCAGTGGGCCAGTGTGTTCGCGGTGAGTTGTGCAAGGGTACGTGTGGACAGCCTTGGTATCCCTTCTTTGATACGCATGCACTGTATTTCGGAGCTTGATGGAATGAGAGGCTGCGGTGTAGCTGCCTATGGTAGGAAAGAGCCCCCGAAATTGGATTCTGTTTGGCCTCCTACTGTAGCTCTTCGGAGACAATGCTCTGCCACTGCAGACGCTAGCCAGACTCGACCAGGCATCATAAGCCGTGCCATTTCTCAGCAAAACCTCCTTTCCGATTTCCGAATCTATGCCCATGCCGAACAAGGCGCCAGCAAAGTTCGAACAACGCGCCATCGACAATTCAGCGTCACAGTTCGCGGCTGCTTCCTCGTCAAGTGTTGCTCGCAATGTTCCCGCAACCAGAGAGACGAACAAGTCCAAGACCATCGCTAAAGGCCCTACTAGTACCACGGACAGCACATGAGCAAAACGTGGAGGATCGTGGAATCAACAATGGCAATGCAGAACGGAGTCGGCCACCCGCAGGGCTCAGAAGCGTCTTAAAGCGAGCCTGGGTTACAAGGGGGTACCATCTACTGTCATGTAAATCTGCTTCGATTTTGTTCGCTTGATGCAGTTTTTCGATCTTGAAGCAGTTGTGCAGGAAAGGTGCCAACATGCAATGCAATTCGGCCAGGTCGAGATCAATGGTTCCAACCAGGTCTTGCGAACTTCCCTTGGCATGGTGCTGCAGGCAGTACTGTTTTGCATGCAAAATCCTATAGTGACGCGGTAGGAGGGTCAGGTTGCTGGGCTCGAGCGGTTCCGTGGCCGTTCCGGCACCATCCAGGGAGGCTTCAGTGTAAGATCACAACCTTTTAGCATGCTTCCGGGCTCTGTTCTGAAGTCGCCCTCTCGCCGCTGCACGCACGCGCAGCCTGCCAAGTGGACCTACCTCCCGGCGGCTCAGACGCGAGACACAGAAAGGATCGCCAGGAGCCGGGAGGACCCAAACTTCGGACACCACAGGCGAGTCGCACACCATGGACGGTGTGTGACATTCATCATGAGTGGGTTGGCAGGGCGGGGCTGAGGATGCAGACCATTGCAGGTATCCGGAGGGGCCAGGCACCCCTCCGATGTGCAAGGGCCCTGGGATGCCCCTCGGGGCCCGAGAGCTCGTGATCAAGCTCCGCCTGGTCCGCCTGGGTGCAGGGACCCTCGGAAGCAGTCTCTGGACTGGTCTGCTCCCATGCGCTGTCACCATCTGTCACCGCAGCGCCGTGCGTGTTTCGGGGTGCGAATTGTGCTCTCGCCACACGGCTCCCGTTTGGAACTTGGTTCTTGAAAGTAGTGCCCAGTGCATGCATCGCGGTTTGGTCCTCGAAGGTCTTCCAGTGGCCTGCTGTGTGGGGTTTCACTGTGCGAGAAGGTCTACAAGGCTGTTTGCACGACGAAGCCGAATTTCCTGCGAGCAGCAGGCCTTAGGGGAGCCCCAGCGGGCTTTGCAACTTGTCAATCGCGCGGCCGGGAGCCTAGTTCCCGCAACATACTGCAGCGATGCCATGGTTCGCCTCCAGGCCGAGAGCAGCCATTGCCGAGCTTTGGCATTGTTTCAGAAGGCTGCTTGTGGGTGTCGTTGCTAGCCTCTGCTCGCACAGCTTATGTGAGGCATGCATCCTGTCCTCGCAGAAGCAGCACTTGAAGGCAGCAGTCGCAGTCGAAGTGTCGTCTCTCCGTGCCCTTAAAACTGCCCATGCACTCAGGCTGCGGATGAGCTCGTTAAAGCCAAATGCTAGGATCCGAGGATCATGTGAGTCCAACCTTCGCCTGGCCATGCCTGGCGGCCGCAGACCTGCTTCAGGTTTGGCTCCGCGCGAACCTTGCATCCATGTGCAGATGGGGAGAGTGCAGCTAGGCCAGGGCGGCCAGGGGCCGGTGAGATGCAGAGCTCAGCTCCTCGGTTTCTCGCAGAGGCCTTGGAAATGTTCGCGAAGCTCTACAGCATTTCACGCATGCCCCTTTGCAGGTATAACTGGAGCTTTTGCTAGAACTCCTTCAGACTCTGGCCCTCAGATCTGAGGCAATGGACTTATGCGCCGCATCAGGAGACCGACAGCTTATTGCAGCAGCGGAGGAGAGCAAATGGAACAATTGTGAAACCCGCAGATGCAGAAGACCGTGGTGCCTTGCCGTTGTTCGAGTGACAAACTGGCTGCTTTCTCTAGGATGAGCTTCGCAATGCAATGCCGGCTGAAGCAAGATCAGCGAGATCGTTGACATCGGCTTTGTCAGATGCAGGCATGGTGTGAATTGCACAGTTGCAGCACAGTGCCGCACCCTCCCCGCTTCCCGCCCGCCCAAGCGCCCCTCGAGGATGGCCTTTTACAGCATGGGGCATGGGGGGCTGTCTGCTCAAGCGACTCTTCGTTTCATTTCAACACTCGTTCGTTATGCTCGTGGTGCAGGGCAGCACACGGAGAGACTTCGACTGTCCGAGGAGGTCCGAGGATTGATGTAGTTCCTTGTACTCAGGCTACATTTCACACCTTGTGATCTACTGAAAATGGACAGCATCTGGTCAACTTCCAAAAGCCACGGCGACTCAAAAGCCTTCAACCCACGAAACGAGGCCTGTCCCCCCATGACGTGTAAGTTTCTCGGACAGCAAGGCAGGCAGGAGTCTCGTTTCACGCCAGTCTTGCTGCTGCCGCTGATGATGATAATGCTGGTGATATTGCCAAGTGTCATGTTGGTGGCGATGGCGATGCTGATGTTGGTAATGTTCACAATGATGCTGTTAATCCACGGCGAGACGGTGCACTTTCGGATGCTGTACCTGGCATGAGAGCCTAGCCAGCCCAAGGTGTGACGGCGTTCACCAGTCGGATCACTGCGCTGCGTGTCGCTTTTTTTTTTTGAGTTCTTGACGTTGATGGTGATGCTGCTCGCTCTTGCCCCACAGCCCTCTCTCCTCCCCAACCTCGGTGATGAGTATTTGCTTAATATGGACATCTGAGCGCGATGTTGATGATGATCATGGTGATGGTAACGACGATGAGTATCGTGATGATGATGATGATGATGATGATGATGCTGTAAGTATTGTTGATGATGTTGCTGATGCATGTGACCATGGTGATGTTGCTGGTTGAGCTTCTTGCAGATGGTGCTGCTTGTGGTGATGCAGATGATGTTGATGATACCTGTCACATGATTGGGATTCTGCGATGACGAATGATGACGAGTTCCTCCTTCCCTCCTGCAGGATGCTGGGCGTGGGTGATTGCATGCATCTTAACAATGAAGATGAAGATGTCACCGATGGTGCTGGCATGTGATGACGGCGATGAGGCTGGCTCATGATGATCTTGTTGTTGATATGCTGATGATGGCAGAGAGCCTCATAGTCGCAACATGCGCACAGCCCACGGCGAAACGCGGGGAGAGCAGGAATGAGTTGACTATCTTGGAATCTAGGAGTCGGTAGATCAGAAACGAGGCAGCAGATGACGTCTACCTCGCTGCTTGAGCTGCGGGACTTGGCGGCGTCGGAGCACAGAGTGTGCAACTCGAAGGTGATATGTCGCAGCCGTCGCTGTGCCTAGTTTTTTGGCATCGCCCTGGGCATGGAACAGATCATGTCGTCATGAGCTGTGAAGTTTAGTCTGAGTTACGTCCTATACCCTGGCAATTGACCCTGTTCTTGTCTGCTGCCCGGAGCCGTGGAATTGCACGAATCTTTGATCAGACGTTGCACAAAGAAAATGCACAGTGGAATGCAGTGAGCTGGAATCGCATTTTTAGTGTTTCCGTGCTCCATGCATGGTTCATCCTTGTACACAAAAAAAGGCGTGACCTCTGTGTAGGGGCTGCATGCACCTCGCAGCTGCAAGCTGAGACATGCTGAGAATGCTGGTTCATTGTTGGGAGCTTTGTTCTGGCATGGAATGACCAGGCGAGGGACATCCAGATACATTCGGCTTTGGAGAGTGGTGGACAGTCTTCAGCCTGGCAATATACTTCCTTTCGTAAACAGCTAGAGGCATACTCTGAGCACTTCACTGGCAATGTAACGCCCAGAAAACATACGTATAGTAGCACAGACTGTCTCTTCTCCGCTCCGTCTCTCCCCCTCCCCTCCCTCCGTCACTTTTTGCAGTGTCCCGCTGGAAAGAGGGAATGTCCAACAGCAAAGCAGTTGCCCATTCAAGAACAAGATCTCGCATGTCCGAAAGCTTGCAACTGATCCTGAAACGAGGGATCGTTCCTGCGGGACTTGATGCGTCTTCGTGTATACCTTTTGGTCGTTCCATGTTTTGTGAATGTGGCAAACGAGTTCAGTACGTTGCCTTGCCATCTGCATCGCTTGATTTTCGTGCTGCTACTTTGGTTCAGAAGCCATCGGGCAAGCCGTTGAGACGATTGTACAGGCCCATGCCACAGTGCAGTGTGTCAGCCTCACTGTGTCTGCCCATCCTGGATCGCAGTGTTTCGTCGATTCAGGCATCGGTACCATGGCTTTTCTTGGGCATCTTGGCTGGAGACAAGGGCGCTGCACCGCTGCTGCCGTTTCACTTCGGGACTCATTGGCCTGTCCAGAGTCAAGGCTGGAAAGGGATCAGCGCTCGGATCGATCCTCCTTGGATCCAGGCTTGTACCCGGTCAGCCAGCGAATCTGCCTCCGGCATGTGTGCTCAGCGAGGTGTGACGGCTGAGCAGATGCACAGCTTGATGGATCTTCTGGGCGTAGCCAAGGAGGAGAATGTCAACAAACATGCAGAGAAGACCAAGTCTGCAGTGGCTCTGACAGTTCAGAAATATTCCGCACCTGAAGCTGCACTTTCCTTGAGGAGGAGCAGGATGAAAACAGCGTGGGGCTTGTTCACCGAAGAACCGAGTTCTGAAGTTGGTGAGGCTTCAGCTTTGGGAGCTGAGGCAAACCACCCTCTGTGAATCCAGCTGGCCGGACAGGCGGCAAGCCCAGCCAGGCGAAACGGGAGGGCATAGCGGCATGTCACGGCTCTTTGATGCAAGGCGTCACTTCGGTACATGCCTGCGCTTGCCTGCGCTTGTTTCAAATGAAGCTACTATCCGGCAAACACTGCGGCTCACTCGTACGCCCGAGTCTGGCAGGCTCCGCCGAACATGAAGGTCGCTGTCAGAGAGCCCAAGAAGAAGGCCAGTACGGGCTGCACATGTCTTGAACTGCCTTAAATCAGCCTCGAAGGACAAGCAGGCCATTTGGCTGCCAGAGGAGTTCAAGGCCGGCAGACCGTGCTGTTGTAACCCAAGCCATACCTCTTCCTCTGCACCATGCAACGCGGCGAAAGCAATCCAGCTTTTCCTGACATTAGCAGATGCACTGCACGACTTGCCACTTCAAAGTGGAGTTTTCAGATACTGCTGAGCCAGCAACACAGGCTAATGTGCGTCAAGCAGAATGAATGAAGCTACCAGGTTGCAGGAAAGCGATTCTTACAGTGCTGTCAAGTTGACGTCAGGCAGCATCCGGCGTCGTCGTCAAAAATGATGGAGACGACCGTGCCATTCCAAGATACGAGGTATCTTGGCCCGTATGAAGGGAGATGTCACCGCATCCGAGCACTGGTTTCATTTCAGCCTGAACACTTCGATTGACTGATCCTATGGGGTCTTGGAGCCCTCTTGGCACTTTGGCCTTGGAGTCTTGGAGCCCTTTCTCCAAGCATCATTCTTTCGGCTTTACGACCTGTCTTGTGATTGACTGTCGCTTGCGCGCCTTCGGATGCTGCTCTAAACAGTTGACAAGTCGAAAAGTCGACATGTTTTCGACTTTTCTGCTTTGCGTGTTTTCCTGCGCTTGTCTGTACTTTACGGATTTTCATGCTTTCGACTTTTCGCGTTTTTCCTGTACTTGTTGTCACAGGAAATTCAAATACCGTCTCGTTATACCAGTTTTAGAATGTTTTTAAAATTTTAAACTTCAAGTGAGAGTGCAGCACAGTTTGAGACCAAAGCAGCCCAAACGAAAGGTAGGGATGAGCAATCGCAGGGGATCTCCATCTCCTTCTGCGTTTCTTCCGACATGTGGCATGTACATGATGCAAAATGCAAACTCCGGGTTCCCTGCCCCTGTCGTCGTCCATGAAGCGGAATGCGGTCGTGCACGTGAACATGTCCTCACGGTTCCGCGTGAGGACTGAATGGATTGTCCTGAGTGCTTTGTTGATGCGAAACCGAAATTTGGGAAACAGAAGCTGCCGGTTGCCGAGCGAAGCCGCTGGCAACTCATGCAAATTGCAATGTTTTGTTTGCATCGTGAGTCCGTAGCCAGATCAGGCTCTTGTTTTCGTCAGCCAGAACTTGTTCTGCCAGAGGGCATAGGGGTGTGGGGGGGACCACCCAAAAGTGGTGCCATCTTGGCAGCTAATCCCTGCACCATGGCGGGATTTTGAGGCCGGGCCGCCGCCTCCTTTTCTCGGCTCCAGCGGACTGGGGCGACCGGCCTCTCTTCAATGGAAAACAGGGGTGTTTGCATGCCTCCACAAGCTGCGTTTCTAAACCAATCCGAGGTTGTATAACAAGGGGTGTTCTTGTAGATTAGTCTAGGATGCCCCTCGTGTGGTTTAGCCTGTAACACCGATTAGAAGTAAAATAGAACGATAACGTTTGCATGTATGTTACATGAATACGATGACTAGTCCTACTGCGACTACTACTACCTACGGCTTGCGGTTACTGCTGCTGCTGCTGCTCTTACTGATATTGCTGCTGCTACTGCTATATGTGCAAGCTGGTTTTTTGGTAGCGTGCACTTGTACAAATTGAAGCTCGCTGAGGCTTGAAAGACTGCACTTGTGCAAACTGAGGCTTGAGAGACGGCACTTGCTTGTGCCAGCTGCGCTTCTGCAAACTGAAACTGAACCCTCGAACCAGATCTCTTGCCGGGAGCATCCATGTGCCAACCATGTTAGCGTCCACAAAGATTCCGTCCGTTCCCACAAAGCATCCACGTGCCATGTGCCAACCATGTTAACGTCCACAAAGAGCCTTGGTCGATTCTCTGAACCTGCCAACGAAGCACACGAATTCATAGTGCTCAGAACTTGCCAAAAATAAGCGTTTGAATACCCCATAACGAAACTCCTGCAATGTGCATGAAGTACTACGCCTGCCATTCGAATCAACTTCAGGCTTCGACAAGAGCCTTTCAAAGGCTAATAGCCGGGGTGGCTATTTTCAAAAAAAGCAGCCACCTGGCAGAATCGACACTTGTGCTGCTCCGAATCTTCAAAAGTGCTGCGCCTAGCAGCAAAACAAGCGTTCACGTGCGGCTTTCAGAACGTTGGCTGCGGCACAACGCGGTTCGAACGTTTAGAAAGACTTGCTACATGAAACCTCCGAAATCAAATGTGTCCAAAACGATAACAACAACGATAAGTTTGGTTTGACAGAGGTGCCTTTTGAAGGACATGAGCCATCCGGCACTCGTGCCCGTTAGCCAGTTGAAGTGTTGTTTACCTGGTCTTGAGACCTGTGGGAATCTTAGGATACGCAATTGCAGATGGGCTGTAAGATGCTGCAAGCCACCAAGAGCCAAGCCTATCCCTTATACTTGCCAATTGATAATCCTTGATACCTTGTGAAACGATAAGGAGTAAACAACGATAACCCAATCTGGGATTAAGGGCCTCCCATTGTGGTTTTTATACAACTTCGGGACCCGCGTTTTCCCCCTTACCTCCTACACCTCCACACCTCCAACAGTCCTCCAACAAGACGGCCCCGTGCAGCCACAGCTTTCGTCGCCCCCCCCGAGTCTCAAGTCAAATCTCAGAAAAATTCGGCCTATTGCTCCGAAGGGACACTGCCAGCGCACAGATTTCGTGGTCAAATGTGGTCAATCGTTGCAGGGAATCCTGTGTGGAAGCACCGCTAGACTGAGCGAGGTTTTGTCATTGCGGTTGAGTTACACTCTTGCGTACATTCGATGCTCGTAGATGGCCTGTCGAGAGAACGGTTTCAAGTAGTTCGAAATCTAAACGAGTCTAAGCGAGACCATCAAGCTTCCAGGTTGCTCCGCCAGGCCAGACTCCTGAAGTCTTCCACAAAGTTTCTTATCAGATCCTTCCAGAAATCGTGCAAAAACCGAAGCATCGAAAGGCGGATCATCCAAATAGAATCAACTAGAACGATCCCACATGAACCTACCACAGAATTCTCATCGTAGGTGCTTCGTTGCTAATTCTGAGTCGTGTCGATCGTCTCAACATGTCAAGTAGGCCAGTTAGGCGTAGTTGCAGCGAAGAGGCGCTGCGGTGCCAGGTTGTAATTTGTTCCCTGCCGATTACGCAAGCAGGTGCTTCCGCGTCAAAGGCTCCAGGCATCTGATGCGTACCTCAACTTGCAGGACTGAGCGAATCTCCACAGCTTGAGACTTTTGTCAAGCATGCCTTCGCTTTTCTGCCCTATTGATTTGGAGAGGACATGGATCCTTCCAGTGACAGGTCGCACTGCCATGTTGGTTTGTAGCAGCATGCTACGGTGACAGTGCCGCTTAAGAAACAGTAATGATTAGCTATACCCTGGATTTATCAATTGGCAGTGCATTTTTTGCAGAGAAGAGTTTCTAGACTTGAGGGCACCCTGGTTTTTCTTAACCCAAACCTCTTCGGGATCCAAAATCAGTCAATCAGAATTCGAAGCATGTGGGGGCATCAAAACGAGTGTTGGAATCGCTCAAACTTTTGCCGAAACAGCTCATGCACTTCACCACTCAGGCATGGCCTCCTTTGTCAGGATCTTCATCCCCAGCTCCATTGCTGATAGAGCTTCTTGAGCCCGTATTCACCCCTTAAGCACACCCAGAAATGGCGGCGGAATTGTTTATTTACGAAATCCAGTTCCTGATTTCTTCTTGTGGTGGTTTTATATTGCTTATTGACAAAGCTATTTAGCCGTTACACAGACTTGATGAAGCCACTAAAGCCTGTAGAGCCCTTTCAAACCCTTATCAAACCTTAGGAGGCGCTCCCAGAACTCCCGACCCGACATGAGACATCCAGCCGATCCAGCCCGTGTATTTCATATTTTGCTGGTTTTTGAGACTTGTTGATGACGTATGACACAAAACCCTGTTTTCTTGACACGACTGCCCGAGGGCCCCTATTTCTGAAGGTGGTTTCGTAAGCAGTGCTGTCGCTGTAGGAGCTGAAGCGCACCGAGATTCGTGTGTTTTCAGCGGCTGGCAGGTGTCAGGAGCTGCTCATTAAGATTTGGCTCCCAGGAACACAGCTGAAGGCCACCGCTTCGATCCGCAATCTGTCTCAGGATGTTGCGATTTTCTCATGTCTTTCCTGCCCAAGCTCATTGTTCACTCGTCCGTTTTCAAAACTCTTCCCGTACATGTTTGCCTGGTTCGGGCGGCGTTTGTGACAAGTTTGTGACCTGGAGGAACGAAGGCCTCGAAAGCCGGTCTGTTCAAGACCGCACACACTCTCTTTTCTCACCTCTTGCTCTCGAGCCCTGTCGACGTCGAAGAGAGGCTGCTTTGTAGATTTACAAGTTCACATTGCTACTTAGCCACATGCGCGGTGTGCAGCAAGATGGGTTTGGACAGAAATCGTCGTCTTCCAGCCTGAAGTTCAGCTTTGCACTTATCCAGAGATCCATCAGTTCCTGAGAGTAGGACCGAGTAGGAATCTTTTGTTGGACTCGCCTTATATATTCAGCGCCAGCCCACCACAGAGCCTCTGATAGAATGCTCTGCTGTGCCTTTGCAGTGTTGTCACTTTGTACGGTAAGTTCGCAGCAACGACAAGACCGCTTCTTCCCATCCTGTGTCGTGTGTCAGTACTTGCGGTATCCTGTGGTCCATGTCGTCAGTGGCAGAAGCTGCTGTGGCTGTAGAAGACCACAGCAGTTTGAGTAGCCTGAGGCTGCAAACATGAATGCGGACATGATGCTGTCATGCTGGTGTGCAGAAGCAGGTCGTCGAGGGTCTGAATGACAAAGGCAGCAAAGCTGAATTTTTTGGTGCGAACATGTGCGTGTGTGTGTGTGCGTAGGTGTGTGTGGGTGTGTGTGGTGGGTATATTCTATGCATACACTCCCTCCTCCCTCCCCGACCAGCCTGCCTGCATGTCCGCCTGCCTACTGTACCTGCCCACCTCCTGCCTACCGACCGACCGACCGACCCGCCTACCTAACAAACTACATAACGACCCTATCCATTATCTGCCTGCACTCTGCCTCACGCTCTCACTCTCTCTCCTCCATCATGCTCCATCTGTCGCCGAATCCATCGATCCATTTCTCTGTCCGTCCGTCTGTCTGTCTATCTGTTTGTTGGTATTCAAGGATGTACAATGGTCTATCTTTCTTCTATTCTCTTTCTCTCCGTTTCTCTCACGTGATGCATGTCTGCGGCTTCTCTTCAGGATATCTCGCTGGACGTGCTGGAGGCTCTTCATCTTGAAGATGAGTTGAGTGCTGAAACACCTGATTCAGCAGGATCGCATCTTGCTGCAAGCTCCAAAGCACCAGCTCAACCTGGCATTGCCCCATCGAGTCAGAAAGGCGCTTCGCCAACGACCGGCCTGGAAGGGAAGGGCTGCAAGATGTCCTATGCAGGATTCTGGAAATGCCAAGTGGGACAAGCTTGCTGGGATGCTCTCCGTCGTAGTGCCGGTGGACCAGAAGGCTGGTCACCCTCCTTACCCACCTTGTCCTACTCTATCGAGGAGGGCGGAGGTGAAACAACTGCGGTAGTTTCACATGCATTCCACATGCGCAATGTCGAGGTGGTGCTAGAACGCTCCTAGAGTGTTTTCGGATGACAGCGTGGGCTGCAGGTGCCAAGGTCCTGAGCGGAAACGCACCCACACACACCCCCCCACCCAGAGAGAGAGAGAAAGAGACAGAGCTCCAACCATATCTTTCACGAACTTCGTTGAAGTAGTTTTCAGTTGCCCCAGAAGGCCTCACAACACGGCGCACCTTTCGGTGCGGGGAGTCTGACAAGGTCCCTGGACCCCGGAGTGAAGTGAGGGGAAGAGAGACAGAGAAATGAATGTCAGAAACTACGCAGTGTTGCTGTGCGAAATAACCAGGGGTAAACCGTCAGTCGACCGTAGGTTCAGCAAACTGATCCTAATAAGGGGGGCTCCACCTGTCTTCGTGATCTGCAAGTGTTTTGTTCCAATGTTGCTGCCACTAAGGCGGACCCCTGCTGACAAACCCCAGCAAAAACTATAGCACTTAGTCCGGTACTCAGTGGTGTTGCTGTTCGAAAGGGGGACTGTCAGCCCACCGTAGAGTCCAGTAAGGGGGGAACGATTGCTGCAGGAGCTAAGGACACTGCCTAAGAGAGCGCGGCGATGAGGCCTGCAGATAGGATAAAGGTCAGGGTGGGGGGGGCTCCTGCAGCAACCGACTTCTCTAACACGAACAATCCGTCGGGGGCGAACACCGCTCTCACAACCCCAAAGCCTCTTGCCGTATGTACAATATAGGGAGGAGGAAGACAGAGAGCCACAGAGACACAGGCACAGGCAGAGACACAGAGACAGACACAGATGCAGACGCAGACGCAGACGCAGACACCGACGCAGACGCAGACGCAGACACCGACGCAGAAGCAGACGCAGAGACACAGACAGAGACACACAGACACAGTGACCGAAGCCAAACATGGGTTAGCACGTATTCCTACACTCGTAGCCTACTGTCCTTTCAATCATGCACAGCTTAATCAGCAACATGCTTCATTCAAAAGTTGGTTACTCCAGTGCCACAGGGGGCACACTGGCTAATCCGAAGGCAGGTACACAAGACTGATCAGGTCTTGCTTCCCACTTGCACCCATAGCTTCGTTGAGTGTGGTAGGATGCAAGTGCCACACCCTGCCTTTTCCTTCAGATGCTATCGGTGCTGCCCTTGGCTTCAAGGATTTACACACACAGCTGCCCCATGAAGGGGTTAACGGATCTGCATCTTCACCTGGCGTTTAGGGTATAGGGATTCTGGAGAGAGAGAGGAAGGGAAAGGCAGAGAGAGAAAACAGAAAAACTTAAAGTCTTGTGATGATGATATGGTCAGCGCGGGAGTTCGCGAGCAAATCCGCAGCCCTCCCGACACTGCCATTTCATTATCTGGTCAATGTGGGAGTTCGCAGGCAAAGCCGCAGCCCTCCCAACATTGCCATGTTATCGTTGATTCGGCATGGGAGATCGCAAGCAAAGCAGCCCCCCCCCAACACCGTCGAGAGAAATGGATAAAGACATGGTCCATGTGGGAGTTCGCAGGCAAAGCCACAGGCACCCCAACACCGTCGCTTCGTTGTTAGGTTCAGAGAGGGAGTTCGCAGGTCAGAGCCGCAGCGCTCCCTACACTGCACGTTCCTGTATATTGGGAGCACAAGTTGTAGAGTCTTGGAACTTAGGATCACAAGTGGTAGAGTCGCAGTCACAAGTTGTAGAGTCGTGGATACAAGTTTTCACAAGTTGTAGAGTCGTTGTCACATGTGGTCACTTGTTGTTGATTAGTGGATGTCACATTTGAGAGCACGAGTGGACGCTATCCCGACATCTTTCATCATTCAAGCAGGAGAGAATTTAGAAGTCTTGTTGCACCCGAAGGTGAGTAGTCATATGTCTGGCCACCGAGCCCTCTCAATCCAGGATCTTAGAGCTGGAGCCGCACGAAGACACTTTGACAGAAAGCCAGCCGAAGCACGCACTTGATTTGACCCTCGAATGACCGAAGCCAGACATGGTAGCACAAATATTCTTACAATCGTTGCCTAGATATCTTCCACATCACCTTCTTCATCTTCATAATGGGGTGCTCGGCTTGGCCCCAGCCGTCCAGAATGCAGGTACGTTTTCACGAGAGGACAGGTGATGAGTGCGCGGTGTTCGTTGGCCAGTGCACGCACTCATCTTATCAGCCTGTCTGCTGCCCCCCTGCATCTTAGTTGTGCCCTTAGCTTCAGGGTTTCACACACACACACACACCGATGTCATCTTCACATTCATCTTCTCTCACAGCCCTCATCGTAAGCCATGGCCTTTTGGCATGAGGCCTGGGAGAAAGCGGTCGAGATTTGGCACGAGATGATCAGTGAAGGCGACTCGTCGTGTCAGGGTTTGGGGTTCAGGGCTTACGGTTGTTACAATTTGGGCTTACTCTACAGTTCTGCTTACATGCAAAGCGGGCGTTTATTCCGATGCCATTCTCGCCATCAACAATTAGCGCATGCACCTTAGTAGCCGCCTTCACAAAGCAGAAAGCGATTTGAACTCTGCGACGAGAGCAAGGATCAGGATCACGATGTTGTAGTCATGATGGTGATGGTGATGACGAAGAAACTGACAGTTCTCATAATGAATGTTGCCGGTGCCATTGCTGGCGGTGGTGTTTGCAGGATGATTTGGCTGGGTGGCTGCGACGATCAGGGCGACTCAGCGAACACGAGGAAATGCATTAATACACACTTGTGAGTGTCAAGGTGAGGGTCGATGCGGCGGATCACCCCTCAGTTACTACGACTTCTAGTGCTGCACAGGAATTGCAACCGGGATCCGGCTATGAAGACACTTAAGTACAGTGGCGAAGCGAGATCCCTCAGTTCAGACGACTTCCCGCATTAACCACAGAGCTAAGTACCCCGTTCCAGAAGCATAATCACCACCTGAGACTGTAGAGAGCTTGTAAAGTCTCTAATGTGCGCTCTGGTAGCCTGGTGAAACCCTGTATACCCCCGTACCTTAATCGAGGATCATCTACACCAGCTCCCGATGCAGCGAGCGTTCGGCTCCAAGCAGAGCTACAGCAGCAGCATGGGGTTTCTTCAATTTTGGATCGCAGCTAGAGACCCAAATTAGTTCCGACAACCCACGCCTGATGCGGATCCGATTATGTAGGGTCGATACGTCTATCGCATACTGTCCGAACTCCCAGCAGGCTCTTACATTAGCAGATCTAGCATGGGAGTTCCTGGTGGGAACACGGGTTAGGGGAGGATTTCTACATTGTAACGTAGTTCAATGTACTCAGGTACCGTTTGTCATGTAATGTTGTGACGTACTACAGTTACTACAGCATCGTGATTCACTGCAATGCAGTGCAAAGAAAAACAACACAATGGAATGTAGTTTAATGTAATTTAGGGATGGGTGTATTCAATTATGCAGTATATGATAGTTGTATGCTACGTACGCGCGGGTGCATGTTTGCGATTTCATGTCCAACGAAAGGCTAAGCGGCTAAAGGCGGCTCCTGTTTCCTGTTGCAGAAGCTAACTGGCCGTCAGGTTCGGAAATGTCCTGGAACCCCGAGCCTCAATCCTCAAAAAACGGAGAGTTGCGTCAATTAGGCGAATTCTGATTTCTCGTGCATCAGCGGATCTCCGAAAGAAGGGGTCTCTGCCTGCTGCTTTGTAGCTTCACTGCAGACCGTTTGGGCTCTTTTTCAGTCTATGTAGGGCTAGAACTTAAATCATCATCCCTTCCTTGCTGCTTGTTGCTTCAATCTGTTTTCAAGCCAGTGTCATAGTTCCTTCGATTACGTTGGGTTCCTTCACAAGAACCCAGTAGCTTACACCGCAAGCTTAGAATTCTTGATCCCTAAGCTCGACACCCTAAAATCCCCTGGCTCTAAGTCCTTATCACTAGAATCCCTGAGCCCAAAACCCTAGAATCTCCAAAATCCCTGAAGCCCTAAAATCCTGATCCCTGGAATCCCTCGAAGCCCTGATCCGAGTCCCTTGGCAAGGCCGCGTTGACGATCCGCGGTTGCTCCCAAGGAAGTAGCTGGCAGGCACCGACACTTCGGGCCTTTCTCAAAGTTCGGATAAATTGGGGGGCCTTCTGGTATACTGTACCACTATTAGCAATTACAGTAGTGAAGCTTCCAGATTACCCTATGCCCCATATAGGTATCCGGTATCTGTAGTGACAAGAATAGCAGAGATTCATGTATCCATTATGTCTCCATCCTGGCCCCATTTTCCTGCACCCCCCAGCCAGTTTCTACCTCTTCTTGTTTGCAAAATTGTGGGCTCAGGGTAGTCTCTGGGTGTCAGCCAGAACTCTGCAGACCCTCTTCGGTGCCCTTTCAGAGTGATCTTAAACTCAACAAAGTTTGCAACATAACCTTCCAAATCCATACATCCCTGAGCCCAATGCAGACCATATGCAATTCGCACCCAAACTGTTGAAACTAGCCAAAACGCCTGCACCCCAAAGAAACCTAAAGCAAGCCTGACACCCTAAATCGTCAGACCTTTGCAGCCCGTTTGGGAGGCTTCCGTGGAGGTCTTTCGACAGGTGCGCTGCTCAGCTCCAAGGTTTCGGTGTATCGGAGCGTCAGGGAGGTGAGCCATTAGGGTTCAGAATTCGTCCAGGATTTAGGGTTTAGGACTTGCGAGCTTTATGCTTGGGCTTCCGACTAAATGGATTTTGTTGATGGATGGAAGCCCGGTGAAGCTTTCTAGGTTATAGCCCTAAGCCTCTAAAACCTAAGCCCTAACTCCTAGAAAAACAATTTCTGAAGGCGTCAAGCAAATAGACTCTGGCAAACCAACCTCTAAAACCCTAAAGTAAATCCTGGTCAAGTCCCATGAGTCAAACAACCCCATAACCTTTTCCGTGAACCCTAGAACAACATGAAGTTGTTGAGTCCGAAGCTGTGTTCGTTCAGACATGTCTTTCATATCACACCATAGAGTCGCCATCAGACCGTGGTATGGTTTAGGGCTTACTGGCAAAGCACGGCTCCCCAAAAGGGTTCGACCCTCCTCCAGTTGGCTGTTTTCCGGGCTGACTCGTGCAGATCTGGAAGAACCTGCGGTAGTGTAGCACGCCACGATTTTCTTTGCGATGTCTGAACCCGCGCCTTGTCCATGAAGTCGGTTTCATCTCCCAAAGCAACCCATTCAATACCCCAGCATTCGACGAGGGGTCCGATGAGGCAAAAGCTGTTGAGGGCCTCACAGTTAGCAGCTCTGCCTACAACGCTGTGCTGTACGCTGTGGCCGTGGGCAGGAGACTTGATGCCAGCGACGTGTTTCAGTGTTGTGACACCAAGCAATGCTTCATGGTTGGTTGGACATTCGGATCTGAGTTATTGTACGTACTAGCCGCGAGTTTGGATGACATAGCTGATGCACAGTCATGCGAGTAGTTCAATTAATTATCACAGTTTGAATGGTTTATGGCAGCGAATGCATTGCACGCTGGTGTCCATAGTCAGATGCCTGGGCTCAGACAGTTGTCTGTCACTCCTTGGAGAGCTTGCAGATGATAGCTGCGCGTCAGGTTTTGGATGGTACGGTTCTACCATAACAGTTGTTTGTAACAAGATTTTGCCAAGTACAGGACGCAAGCCACGAAACTGTGGAAGGTACATCGAAAGTTCTGCGGGGTCTACAGCGACAGCACTGAGGGCTATGGCTGTCAAGAAACCAGCAAGAAGCCGGCCAACCTTGCCGATTGCATTCCTGAAGAACTCCACAGCCCAAACCCGACACCCTAAACCCTGAACCCTAGCGATCAAAAGTGTGAGCCTGTGAAGCCCTAAGCACACAAAACCTGTCACCCCGAAACCCAGCAATTTAGATCCCAAACCCTTCAAGTCCTAAATGGCAATTCTGTAGACCCCCTGGCCCCCAAGCCCGCAATTCTGAAGTTTTGCTGGTTTCCATCCAGGAGCTGGGGAGGTGCACTGGCACTCCTCGAGGAGAGAGTGGCTTGAGGGCTTGCAGTTTTGGTTATAGGGTTACAGGTTGCTTTAGGCTTAATGGGGCTGGGTTTAGGGGTTTAGGGTTCCCTGCAATTGAGAGCCCTGAATTCATTTCAAGGTTCCGCAAATAGTCCCAAGCCCTGAACACTAGCAGCGGATGGTCCTTTAATTACACTCAAGGGATAGCCCTTGGTATGTAGGTCATTGGAGCCACAATTCGCTTCGGGGGTGTTGGGGGCTTAGCCTTCGACGTTGGGAAGAGCTTCTGGGCTGTGTTGTGTAATTAGTAAGTCTACAGATACTTCAGTTCTTCCCTACAACTCATTACACACCTGACTTAACGTACTTCTTATGTCAAAAGCGCACACCAATAGGTTGTGGAACAGGGTTGTGTATGATTATGAGATGTCTCAAACTTGGCAGTCACATGGAGTTCCTTCAATGGATTTCCAGGTTTGCTCCGGGGTTCTGGGAGTTTCTTTCTCGACATGGAGGGCCTCTGCCAGGGCCTCCCACGTCGGTAGAGCCGGGTGCAGGATGCCATGTAATGTAGACTTGAACCCCAAACCCTAAACCAAAAATCCAGCAAACTCCAAACTCCTGAACGCCAAAATCCGTTCGTAACTCGATAGACATGTCTTCACATCCAAAGCCCTGCGAACCCCAAATCCATGTCTTAACATCTCTCTCTCTCTCTATTATATATATATATATACACACACACACTGACTGATGTGCCTATTTTCCAGACCTTAGTCAAACACCCTCAACTGACCACTTACTTGGGAAGGTGGGGAGTACGGATCCGGGGTTTCCTCCCGAAGGAGATGGCAGCGGAGTTCGTTCCGATGTGCGGGTCCTGGCTCTGGAAGATTAAGCGAGTTTCTTGATGGACCTAGTAGGGAATGAGGGAAGCAAAAAATGAATCAGTTCCTGTAGGCCAAGTAGTTCATAGATGTTCAACAACCCTTCTCTGAACCTAAATGGCCAGGTCAAGTTTCTGTGCAACACGAGATGTACCCCTAAACTATGGCGACATCATCAACTTCTAGGTCTGATGATCACAGATGTCAATGGTTGTATTGTATGATGTTGAAGTACATAATTTAATTTGAGACTTAATTAGACGGCACAGCTGCGACCACTCCACTTCACCAAAGGGGCCCGAATCGTCTTGAGCTTATATACATACTATAATGGGTAGTCGGCATAGATTCCAAGGGGTTGATAGTTGAGCAAAGTTGGAACACAGAAACAGGATGCTCGCCCCAAAACTTTAAAATCTCACAATGCCGAATACCCCGAAGCCCAAAGCTCCCGAGCTGCGTGCACTTATTCCATGAGCCCCCGCAAGCATGGAACCTCGCAGTGGCCAAAGGACACGCAGCACCCGCAATGCAGCACTCCGGGCTTGCACGCTTGGGGTTCCGAAGCAGGCCGGGAGTTGCATGGGAGTTTCTTATCGTGGTCAGCATTGGGGGCCTTATGCGACACAAAGGTGCATGGTCGATATCAGGGGTAAGGGCTAGCCGCGGCTAGCCTAAACCTTAAAAGCCAAATCAAGGCTTTGAGCCGAGCCTAAACCCCGAAGTCATCCCTAAGCCCGAAACCCTACGGCCTGAAGCCCAGATCGGGCATCCGAGTTTGCACCAGGAAAGACGGAAGCCAGCAAGTCGAAGCCACCCTCCGTACCTTCATGTGCAGCCCCAGCAAAGCTCAGAAGGGACCAGGGGTTTAGTTTAGTCCTTCGGATAGCAACACTGAGACGGAACCACGTACCGACAGAGCCTTCGGGGGTTAGGGTTAGGCTAATTTACGGCACATAGTACATGGACCCCTAGTCAGGTAGTGTCTTTGCTTCTGGCTTGGGTTCCATGATTGCAGGGCAATTACCTGCACCCCTAACTTCAAGCAAGGAGACAAAAACCAAAAGACCGAGCAACCCTAATCCTAAAGCCTTCAACCTGCAACTCACCCTATACCTTAAGCCGAGTAATTCCTGAACCGATAATCCGACAACCCTACACCCCAAGCCCCAAGCCGATGTAGTCCTCAACAAATCCTAAGCCTTAAATCTCATAATGCATGGCCCGAGGCCCTATGGAGCTTGATTGAACGAAGACCGATAAGACCCTACAAGCAGCTATAATGAACCTTATCAGGAAAACATAGCAGGTCTGAAAGAAGGTACAAGCAGCCCTATACTTAACCTGAGGCCTATAATTTGAAGCCGTTAACTCTTAGAAGAGCTTGCCAGGCCTTCTTCTAACCCTTGCACAAAGTCTTCACGTAAAGCTCTAGAGAATCTGTGCAGAAGCCGATGAGAAACGCCCAAAGTCTGGGAGGAGGCGCTTTGGGCCTCCACAAGAGCCCTCGCGCTGCTTCGGGAGCATGGGCTCAAGACTTCTCGAGAAGCCTGGGAGGCGAGAGCTGTTAGATTGTACTTACTACACCAGTTCATAATTTTGAAGGCTGTGTTAAGGGTGTCTAAGGACGCGCGAAGGTGTCATGAGAGATTCGCAGGATGAAGGAGGGTATTTGTTCAATGATTCTGGAATTACGGTGCTTATCGGTTTGGAAAGGGTGCTCATTATGTGTGGGGTCTCACAGCGATTTCTACCTGATTTGCTGGGTCTAGTTAAACTGGTTCAAACTTTAAGGCATGCCAATCGCTACTAGCTTCTCTTCTTCTCTCCCCGGGAGTTTGGCTGTGCGGTTTCCGGCTTTTGGTTGGGTTTCCGGTTTAGGTATTGCCCGAAGCTCCGAGGCTCTGCAGCCCCACCTCTAAGGCTTGACGCTCGGTCTGGGTTTGAAGCCCTGAACCTTAAAACAACAAGAGCCGAAAAATCGTCCAAGCAGGCAGAGGGCCTGCCGGCCCATGCCGAGCTGACCGAAGCTGGCTTGAATTTCGCCGCGGGCTTGTAATACGTGTCCTTTACGGAATCCCTTTGAGGCAAATGTTGTCAATGCATCTCAGTGTTGTTATTCGTAAATGGTGGGTGATGCTGATTGTGGATCGCGGCGAGGCTGACGGCGGTGATGTGTATGCCGGCAGCCTTGATGTTTGTGGCGTGTCTCATTGTTGTTGCCGTGGAAGCGGCCGTGGATTGCCGAAGGGCCCATGTCCGGAAATCAGATCTCAGTCTTCCTTGTGGCGCCCGGTCGAGGCTGCATCACGTGTGGAGCTTCTCCTGCTCAACATGGAGGCTCGCAGTCTTGTGTTGCTCCGAGGAGTTCTGTGCCGAGAGAGAGAGAGAGAGAGAAATGATGTGAAAATACCTGCGACTGTAATATGGAGGTCTCAAAACTCACTATCGCAATCACACGCGGGGTTGCGCGACATTTTAGTTTCCTGTTCAGTGCAGGCGGAGTGAAACTAGCATAGTTTTCTCAGGGTTCAAGTGGATGGGCATTCTGTTCCCAGTATTCCCAAAGCTGGTCTAGGGTGTCATGTCATCCAGTCGTGTACAGCAGAGGGTCCCGTTTGAGGTCGAGGAGCACAGGATTCTGAGTTCCTGATTGATGGCCAGATGTTCATATTGAAATGTAGGATTCCACTGCTGGAACCCTTAAGGGATATCTGGAAAGAGAGATGATCTTCGCTTACCTGGATTCTGCTCTCTGTTTCGGAGGGCGAAGAAGCTTCTGGCATCGATTTCGATGAAGGCAGGAAAGCGAGATGCGCTCGAAGGGATCCCACCGGTGTTTTTTTGACAGAGTTGGTGGTCCTGCTGCTTTCAAGAAGGTTTTGTGTTCACACCGGTGCCTTTCAGTGAGCCCTGGTTCAGAACAGCACCTAGCTCAGAATAAGGGTTTAGCATGTAGGATTTATCCGAGGTGCCGATTCGTACTTTCATGTGTCCGCTAGAGCTGGGGCTTGCGAAGATGCCCCTTTCCCAGCAAACCTTTCTCTCCATGCAGCTGCAGTTTCTGCCAATTCTGTGCAGTCTTTTTTTTCATTCTGCCGACCACAAAAAACAAAAGTCTTCTACAACCCCATGTGGTTATTCTGATAACCAGGATTTCTTTCATCAGGGGTCTCGCCCGTGATAACGAGGATCCTGGTATGTGGGTCGACATTACCGATCCATGTTTTCTGAAAACTTCCATAGAAGCGACGTCCTCTCTCCGCCCAAAACAAAGAAGCGGCGGCGTTTCCCCATTCATGACTCTAGTGGAGGGCTTACAGTGTCGTTGTCTATTCTGACGGCAACTCCCATAGAGAAAAGAGAAGACGTTTCCGGTACAAATTGGTGCGAAGTACAAGTGACATGTGAGCACGGAACGTCCCGAACGCTCATGGACGGCTTGTGAAGGACGAACAAACCGCGGACACAAGCGAGGCACCAGAACGCTTTTGAGCAGAAGCCACCAGTCACTGTCGAGCACATACACAAACACACACTGCCAGGCTCGAGCATAAAGGCAGGCACCGCAAATCCTGCACATTTCTGTCCGGTCGGACATAGTGTTGAGTGCTTTGCCACGACTTTCAATGACAGCGGCCGTGTCCTTCTGCGTTATATTTTGTACTCTTAGCCGGTACGCTCCGTCGCTGCGAGACCGAGTCGGCGGAGCGTTTGCAGACGCCAGCGGCAAAGACCTGAAGTTCCACTACCAGCGGCCCTTCTCGCTGGTGCCAAGAGATGCTGTTAAAAGTAAAACAAGGATCTTAAGGTTTGGGGCACCTTGGCCCGGATATCCTTTTGTCGCGAAACACCTTCACCTAATCTACAAGCCGGCCGTAGATATTGACAGCCGCAGGTCCACGCCGCCCAATGCTGGCCGGCACGAGTCTTAGGGAGGTGGTCTTCTGAGCAAAAGTACCGGCACTGAGATATGCGTCATTTCTGAACTCTCCCCAAGTTTCAAATACCTTAACCCTCAAACAACGCAAAAGTCCTCGTTAGTCCTCATCGGCGTTTTACATGTAAGGTCCGGTAAGGTCTTCGAGACTCGATGCCAGACTCAAAGTCTTCAGGAAAGGAGCACGAGAAGAAGCTTCAGTTTAGTGTCTGAGAGTTCGGGCTTGGGAGTCTCATTGGGAGTCTTTAGGAACTATCTAGCAGATTCTAGCAGCAGAGTCCCAGTTGTTAGGCCCGGCCGGAGTTAGCCTCGCAGCTAAGTTCCAACTTTTGGTTGTGGCCAAACCCACCCGAAAGCAAGCAACATCTCACTGTCCGTGGAGAAAAGAATCTTGCACAGAATCCTCTGCATTTCCCAAAGCATGGCCCTGTATTGCTTTACAAGAAGGGTTTGGGTTTCGAGTGTTGCCAAGAATGAGGGAGCACCAGAAACCCCACAGTCTGTGAAGCATTTGAGTCAAGTCATTGCTACTCAACTTCCAAGCCCAGATCAACTTAGGACGACAGCCCGCTCAGGTGAACTCGTCCCTGTCAGCACCTTGCACGAGGACGAAACCCTGAGCCCGACGCCCTACCTTCAAAACCGTAAATCACAAGTACTATAAGTAAGTACTAAACTCGCTAACCCCCAAACCCTAAGCCCTGCAAGCGACACCCTAAACCCTGAACCCGAACCCTTAGCCCTATAAACTCTAAACACCCTGCTTTCGCGTGTCAGAGGTTCAGGAAAATCATCAAGCCAGGATACTCCGCTGTCAGTTTGTCCGGATTTGTGATGCTGATGCTGGAGAAGGTCCTGCAGTACCTAAGTACCGTACCCTGAACTATGGGCATACACTCGTTGTTATGGATAATGCAGGAGCTTGTCACAACACTAGCAGGGCTTGCTTGGTCTGTAGTACATTCCTGTCTAGAGTGCTACCATGTTTCACTGAGCAGTTGGGAGGATATTGGGTTTTGGATTTACTAGGTGCAAGGCTTAAGAGTTTAGGGCCTTCAGGCGCTTGGGGGTCAGGGCCATGGAGTTGTCCACAGTTTTGGTGTCTGTAACTCCAATATTTTTAACAACCCTCATAGAAGCCTAAGCACAGCCAACCAGCCCCCCACAGCACTAAAAACAGGCCAAGATATGAGGGATTTTCAGAGAGTAGGGACTTTGGTATCCACAAAGAATAACAGGATCCTTACTATGCTGACGTATTGCAAGTACCTCTAATGTTCAGGAGCCCTTTTTTCCCAAAGTCCATAGCCCACCATCCCCGTCAACAAAAGCATCCCAAGACTAGCAAACCCCGTACATCAAGCCAAGAAAGATCCATGAGGAGCTTAGCATCCACTCGTTTCCCACGGGTCTGTCACTGCAGCTGCTTGGGCTTCCAGGCCAGAATCAGTTTCGTCTGAAAACGGGGTCTTGAGGTTGTGGGGTCAAGGACTCGGGGTTTAACTCTTCCGATCATCATATCTTTAAATCAGGGATGCCTTAACGTGATAACATCGGAAATGCCTGTTTGGTAATCGTTTTCAATTTTAGCTTGTGGTCCGGAGCAGGGCTCCCTTATCTTCTGATACTCCGAAACGGCTCCACGATGGTTTAGGGTCCATAGTTCCAAGGAAAGTTTAGCAACGAGTGGGTGGTAGCAGTCGCAGTAGTCCTAGTCGTCGTCGAAGTAATAGCAATAGCGCAGCCTGGGTAGTCATCAATAAACCGAAGCAGAGACTGCAGCCGAAGATCCCTGGACACCAAGCCCAAAAGCAGAACGGTTCGCGAGCTCAACATTTTTGATGATGGCCTCAGGCCCCTATTCTGCGACGGATGTGGCTGCCACAGAATCCTGTCGCGAGGCACAGGGAGAAAACTGTATGGAGGATTACCGAGTCTTGTAGGAGTGTCACAAGGGATTCGGGGGTTTAGGTTTGCACCCTCGAAGACCACTTACCTGCATATCATAAACCCTGCACCCCACACCCTTGTCGGGTTTGGGGATTCCTGCCGCAGGCCCTCCAGTCGCAGGTTAGTGCCGCTTTCAGCCCTGGCGAGGCCATCGTCCCTCAAGCTGCAATAGAGTATTTGCTGGGTGGAGCAATGGGTCTTTAGCTCCCCAAGGTCCTCAAGACCACTCTGGCTCTGTTCGTAAAGGGTGTTTGTATCTGTTATTGTGGCGAGTTGGTGATCGGGCCTCTAGACCCTGCTAGCAATAACTTCCCGACCGCCGAGATTGTTACTCTGCTGTGATTCTTCCTCTTCTCACGGTTGAATAGACATCTATACGGCCAGTCGTTCCCCGCGTTCTATTCCTTTGGCAAGGCCACTATCCGTTGTTCTAGTGTATGTGTATACATATATATATATATATACATATGTATATTTTCCATATATTCTATATTATAATGTGATGTTTTCCCAACAACGCAGTCAGTCTGAGGTGCACTTAGTTGGTTCCCGGCTTTATGGTGCCGCACTCGAGGGTGCTGACGTGGACGTTGTGGTGGCCTTTGCGAGTTTTGTTGTGAGTCAGATGTGTGACTTTTCCCCAACCTTGAACCCTAAATCCGCAATCTGAACCGGATCGAACTCTTATGGTTTGAAACTGGAATCCGGTCCCTGCAGAATCATGGGACTCAATCGGGTTTACGGTGTGGGACCTGATTCAGTTTTCTGCTGTGTGATGCATAGGGTGCAAAGTGCTTCTCCTCTTCGTAACCCAACTCTTGAACTACTACTAGCCTTGTCTACCCATTCACAACCAAGTGAACCTGTGAACTCGGCTCCAAATACTTACGCCCCGAGTTCCGAATCCCAGGAGAGTTGTGGTTAAGGTGTAGCGTTTTGGTTATTGCTTTGGCTCGGGATTTGCGGTCTCCAGAGTTTAAGCTTAGGCATCTTAGTGGAGCGAGCTGTTAGGCGAAATTTTCTGGAAACAGGAAAACCTGATTTTGTTCGGGGGCGAAAACTAGGAGGTGCAGCTGCGGTATTGCCAGGAAGTGACTCCCAACCTCATGGACTTTAGATTCAGTACACCCGAGACCTCAAGCGGTTCGAGCATCAGGCGCCCTCTATGTAAAGCTTCCGTGGAAGATTCTGGTTCCATAGAGGTACCGATTCACGAACGCATGTGGGTGCCCTTATCAAGGTGCTTTTAAGTCTCTGCGTGCATCCAAGAGCGACAGTGGCAGGTCCAATTGCCCGCTCCCCAATTGCAGGACACACACAGCAGGCTGATGGTGTGCACGGGGTCGAAGGTTCTAATGTTTTCTGAGGTTTGGGGTGTTGTGGTTTTCGGGTTGGAACTTTAGTGCCACTTTAGTGTTTGTAGAGCTTGAACGTTCGGGGTGCTAAGGCATTCGGGGTATATTTATGGCTGAAGGGCTTCAGGATGTGGGGTTGTGTTTAGAGCTAGTTGCAACTACACTTCAAGCTTAGGCCTAGGCCGAACCAGGTGCTGCAGGTAGAACTCTCATGTCCGCGTTTGTGTGCTCCGGGCTCCGGGATTCCACTTGGGTGCAAGAGCTCGGGCTTTGGGAATGAAACCCTCAAGTTGGGTTCAGTATACCCGAAACCTGAGCCCTAAGGTAGTGGGGTTCACCGCAACTAAGCATTAATTAAACCCTGCAGCATGGGGTTTGAGTATACTTGTAAACCCCGATGCTAGTCAGCTTGGAGTTCCGCTTAAGAGTTCCGAATATCGCGAAGTCAGAGGCTGTCCACGCGACGAAATAACAGATCTACGCAATACTTTCCTGTGCTTGGGTGATTTGACCACATTGCTTTCTTCGGGCTTACGTGGGTATTCAGGGATTCAAGGTTTGGGGGCTTAGGGTTTGGTGTGTGAGGTAGTCTCTGTATCCGAGGGTGCAGCCCTGGCACCTACCGGTTTTTAGTATAATATAGTATAGTACAGTATACTACTATATTATACGATAATATACTATACTATATTATGTTAGGATCCTCAGAACCTCACAGCCTTCACAGAGGTCGCCTGACATCCAAGAGGCGGTCCTAGGCGAGAGTGATGGGCCAATGGCTGTGGAGGCCCCCCGGCAGTTGGTTGTTCCTGTTGAAGACAACCCCAAAAAGATCTCAAAGGCCAGCTCCGTGTTGCAAGCGGCGAGCACACTTTGGTCTTTACTTCTTGGTGCGTGGTGGACCCTCAACCCTAAGCACGAAACCTTGCTGCATCATCCTCATCATCATTCCCACATTCATCAGCAGCAACACATCCACAGCTTCTTCTCCATCTTTACATATCTTGTTCTTCATCATCATCATCATCACCATCATCATCATCAGCAGCATGATGGTTGTCAGGCGCTCTGGGATATATCCATGTTTGTCAACAACTAGGATCATCTCGTTCGGACCCTTCGGTCAAGCGAGTCGCCCCAGGATCGCTGCCGGCTGCTGTCTTCGCGATCTGTGCTCCGCCTTCAACGCCACTTCGAAGGCCTCGGAATCTGAGCTTTTAAACAGGGGTTATAGGTTTCAGGATGTCGGGGCCCCCAAGGAGGCACATGGGGTGAAAGGCAATCAATGTACGGAGTTCCTGTCGTCGTAAGTCTTGCTTTTCAAGGCAACAAAAAAAACAAGTTCATTCAAAGAGAGTCAGAAGCCCACCCGCCCGTATTTTGGGAATCCGAGACACCCCGAAACCGACAAACTCCAAACCCTACTGCTGATGACCAAAATCTTTCATTACTCGTAAGTGCCCCGGACTTTGAACTGTGGCACATGTCTTGCCTGTTGCTGCGCACACAGTGACGATTTTCCTATCAACAGTAAAGTGAAGTCCCTCGAAGACCCTTCAAAGAGATTCCTGTGAAGACCCTAGAAAGCAAAACCCGACACAACGCTAGCCATCCTACAAGTCAGTCTGCAGACCCTGGAAATCCTGATATAAAGACATACAACAACCACCCTCTGAAGACAGGTGTCTGCAGCGATGCGTGGCACCGGATTGAAGCGATCCTCGACACACGCAGGCTATTTCCGGAGCTCTGGGTGCGAAGAGTTTGCTGAGCTTCCTAGTTTGGGGCTTTTGAGTTCTACCGCAAGGGTGACTGTACTTGGAAAGTAGGCTATCTTGCTGGCTGGAAGCACTCGCGGATTGAGGGTCACTTGATTCAGAGCCCTATCTTCACCTCCCACAAGTAGGGTTCATAGAACGGTTCTGTGGTCTTGCGCTGTTTGGGTGTATGCTGAAATAGTGGCCAGCAATGCAAATTAGGAATTATGGCCAAGATTAGTGTTGGAAGCATTGAAGCGGGTTTCGGAGCTCGATTGGAGGTGTCCGTTAATTATTTGGGGTTCATAGGGTATTCAAATTGTTGATCGAGCTTTTCAGGTTCTAAGGCTAAGCGATTAAGTCCGGTTAAGTCATGTTTTGGGTTGAGGGTTTGGGCTCATTTGGGAGTTTTGGCCCTGAGAGCTTTATCCAGGCCTGTGGAATCGAGAAGAGTGAGTCTAGCCTCCTTGGTGGGCCGCAAACTCCCAACCGCAAGAGCCGGAAACAGTCAAAGCCAGCTTTCAGAAGCAAGTCAAACGCGAGACCTCACTCGCCAGGACCTGTACAGTTGTAAAATCCTGAAGCCCTGCCGACCGTAAGGCTGGATCCTTTTAGATACAGTCTCTA